TTATTGCTTTAAGGAAAGACTAGGTGAGGGTGGGTACCTAGCCCATGGGTCCTGAGCACCCTTGGGCAAACACATACTCTCATCAAGACACGCCTTCATCCACCAGAGTTCACTGTTTCATCAGAACACAGCAGAGACCCCTCTGACTTTGTCAGCAACGACTGTTGTCTGTCTATGCATGACCCAGAGGGTTCATTCCTATGAGGGGAAGCTCTCAGGGGCTTTCACAAGCAAGGCCCATCCCTCCCTGGAACAGGTGAAGGCTTTCTTTCTCCTCAGCTCCACACCCCCAACTCCGGGCCGACAGGTGGGGAGAAGAGTAGGAACAGCTGGGCCAGGACACCTGTTTTCCACTCCATGCCTGGCCAAGGGCCTGCTTGGGGACCACACGGGGGAGTCTGCCAAGAGGCAGGCAGGTGTGGGGGCAAAAAGAGAGGGGTCCAGATGTCAGGGGGAGAGAGTAAGGAGGACCACCCTCATCCACCACATAAGCTGGAGGAGACCCAGGCCCAAGGTCAGACTCCAGTCCCTGCTTGCAGTCCCCACTTCAATTTCATCGACGGGACACAAAGAACCCAGAGAAGAGGCCTATTCCCCTTGCCATCTGCCCCACCCCCGCTGCACTGGCCCTCCTGCCCTGTCTAGTCATTATTCTCTAGCCCTCAAACCCAGTCTGAGGGGGAGGAGGACATCACTAGGAATAGGAAAGGACCTGGAACGTGTGCAGGGCAGGTTTTTGAGGCCAGGAGGCAGCTGGCTTTGAGTGGGAAGGCGATCCTGTTTCTCATGCCACTCCAGGGTCTTGTGGCCCCTTCAAAGCATTCTCCAAGTCCTCATCCCTAACCCTAGGTCTTGGCTGAAGGTCCTGAGGGAGGGTGCAGCTGTGACACTTCCCACTGAACCTACTTCCTCTAGGAAAGGCAGAGGTGGAGGGGGGATAGGACTGCCCTGCCTCTGAGCTACCTTCAATACCTTTCCTGTCTGCTCAAGCAGGGTTCCAGGGGCCTCTGTATGCTGCTGGCTCCGGCTCCAGATCCTTGCTTTGGGGCTTCTTCCATTGGTGGGGAAATCTGAAGGAATTACCGTCTCAGGAGTCAGAGCAACAGACCCTCAAACTGTCACCAAACCACCCTTGAGGCCTCTGAGTGCTGCACCAGGGTGGCACTGTGGCCAACAGTGGCCTAGAGTCCCTCCTGGAGAGATGCCTTCTCCACCCCTCACAATGAACTTCACTGAATAAATCCTCAGTTTTAGCCTTGGTTTCCCCAAGGCCAAAGACCAGTAGCAGGCAGAACCCTGTCCAGCTTAGGACTCTTCACAGAGACTGGGGAATCTCAAAAGTCTCCATTTTTTGACTGAACCATGTACCCTGTTAAACTGGGTGTGCACAGGTAATGCCAGTGGGGAGCTAGGGACAGGCAGGGTACGCCTTCCCTGTGGCATGTTGTCTGCCCAATGTTAGGGGAGTGGCCCCAGAACAGCCAGGGGCACCACGCCAAGGTCAGTGACCAAGCCTGGAGCTCAGGGCCTCCTGGGAGGGTAAGTTTAAATGAGTAAATATGGTCCCGCCTGGGTGTGGTTTGCCACAGGCCAGAGCTTGGGGCAGGTCACTCCCTCCAGTACACTACACTGAAGGGGCTGTCAGCCACAATCAGCCTCCTCAATCCACGCCACACTAGCAGTGCTGCCTAATTCTGCCATTGGAAACCGGAGGAGGGGTGGCATGTGGGCTGGGCCTGGACAAAGGAAAGAAAAGTGGATGTGGAGAGCTTTGGAGACCTCCTAAGCGAAGGGTTTGCCCCCAAATGCAGCAGAGTAGCCTCACTCATGAAGGTGGGGACAAAGATCAGCATGGACCATCAAGCACACAGGTGTCTACGCCACCAAAAGGGAGAAGAGGGGCGACTTACCCAAGGACTCAGGCCAGGGGGTGGGGGCACTGGCTGGCCAGGGACAGAACAGCAAGGGAGGTGGAAGTCAGCCAGGGCTCCCTGACTCACAAGGCTCGCTCTCCACAGACAGGCCCTGCCTGCCCATCTGTGCTCTGACCTCAACCCCTGCACCAGCCTGGCTCTCTGGGTTCTGTGCGCCTGCCTTTCGCCTTCCTGCCTCTAGTCCCTCACCACCCCCCACTCTCCAATCCTTTAATCATCTTTACCACTGCTGCCCCCACCCCCGCGGTGCAACAGCTGCTCTGTGGGTGTCACACCCCCAAGGGTGTGCTGTACACCTTCCCTTCCCGCATGTGTCCCATGACCTGGTGCAGACTGCCAGGTGCAGCTGGGCCTGCAGAAGCCCCCAGCCTGCTTTCTGGGGAAAGGGGCTCTGAGGTCAGCCTTCCCACAGCTCCACGACAACTCAGAATATGCTTTGTCCTAGGCAGGGAGAGATGAGAAAATATTCCAGGAGTCAAACAGCACCAGCCCCACTAGGCCAAAGGTCAAAGCCTTTTTAGCAGAGTCACTGGAGAATGCCTGAGATTCCCCCTCTTTCTCCTAGCCAAATTAAGAGCCATCTTTTCCCCAACCTAGCATCACTGGGAAGTTCTTCCTGATATCCAAGCTCCATCCAGCCTCCTTAACTGTGGAGAGGGCAATGTCAGCCACAACACAGCCAGATGTCGATTTCTATAACACAGCTCCTAGCAGCTAATGCCACCTCTCCTCCATGAGTAAGTCACCAAACTGGGACAGAAGGACAGAGGGTTGGCTGGACTCTGGCCCCATGACTACCTCATAAAAGCCACCAGTGATTACAGCGATGCGGAGGCTGTGCGGCATTCGACCATTCCTCCTTCCCGCTTCCCTGTAAAGGGACATAATTTTCTCAGGCCAATTGGCTCCAGAGAGCCTACAAAGTCCAAGTCAGGGTCTCAAGGGATGGAAAAAGCCCACCACCACAGAGCCCTAGATCTGACCCTTGCCAATGGGCTCTGGGCTTGCCTTGAATCATCAACCCCTTGAGGGAACCTGGATAGCAACAACTGTATTTGTGACACACAGTTATCCCCCCTTGCCTCCAGCTCTTATCCTGTAGGCCACACTGTCTGGGCAGGGGGACAGAGAAGTGGATACAACAGAGAAAAGCCAGACTATCCACTCACTCCAGTGTGGGTAGCAAAATACACAACAAGGACCAGTGCCAGGCCAGGGCCAACCATGGAGGACAGTGGGCTAAGTTGGCAAGGAAGACAAAGCTGGGAAGATGGGCAGAGGTCCAGGCCGGGGACACAAGAGCCCAAGATGCTGCGGCAGAAGCCCTCTTCCAGAGCAGGGTTAGAGTGAGGCCTTAGTGAGCCCAGCCCCATCCCCTGGTCCAGCTTCCAACTTGGGGAGATTTCCTCTACCTTTCCCATTATACCACTTAGGAAGACTGGGAGAAGAAAGAAAAAACCTGCAGGAGAGATTATATAACGGCAGCCAGCCAGCCAGCCTGTCACATCGCCTGGCCTATGAGCACTAGAAGCCAGAGGGCCAGAGCAGGGTCCTCCAGCCCAGTGTCACCACACAGAGGGAGATGGGCAACCTGCACCTGCCTCCAGTCCAAGTCCCCACACCCTGTTCCAGGCACTGGGCTTAGCAGAGGCAGTACAAGCCCTTTGCCCATCCCCCAATACAAGGTTTCCCATACTTTCTGACTGGGTCCTACTGCTTCTATAGGCCAGTGCCTGCAAGAGCAAGGCTTGTATGTCCTCATTCTTAAGAGTCTCCCCCTGCATGAAATCTGTGGCAGAAAGGGGGAAATTAAACTCTGATACAGATTTGCTGTGTGATATCAGGTAAAATGCTTGACCACTCTGGTAGGTATGGGAATGAATGAAAGCTCCAGCCTTCCAAGTGAATCCTCTTACAAAAGGCACACATAGGGTATGTGTGAAGGGCACAGGAATCACAACAAAGAATGCCTACAGAGATTCCAAGGTCCCAGTGTCCATTTCTGGGGTAAATAAGCTCCAGTATTCCCCAACCACCCCACATAACAAGGTTCTCAACCACTCCCACAACCATCCCACCCCACCCCACCCCCATCCTGAAAGACGCAGGAAGGAAATTCATTCACTGGCAAGGCCATGGGAGCTGGGACAGTCAGGCTGAGCACTGGGGCTTGGTGGCCGGTGGCCAGAGGCCAGAAGCTGGGTGTCTGGGAACACTGACAGGTACCTAGCCAATGCCTCCGCTAGAGCTGGGAGGGGAACAGAGGTGGACAGCTCCCAAGGCCAAGTGCACTCAGTAGGCTCCCCTCAGAGATCCAGCCAGAGCAGCCCAAGGTCACCATCCCAGACGGCAAACTTCCCACAGTCAGGCAGCTCAGACCCACTGAGGGCTAGGGGGAGGGGAAAGATCCGCCAGATCCGCCACTCACTCAGCCAAAGCAGCTAGGCCTCGGAGGGAAACTCAGACGGGGAGGGCAGGATACCGGATCCACCCACTGTAGTCCCCTAGCCTGGCCCTAATGCGCCGGTCAGTCGCAGGCTGAGCTGGCACTCAGGACAAGCTGGGTAGCCCAGGGCCACTGGGAACCCCAAAGGCTCGGTGGAATCTCTAGGAGGCCTCGTTGCCCCATCTCTGCCACGGGTGGCCGGGAGCACCGTAGTCCCTTGGGCCAGCCTCACCACTCGAATCCTACTCGCGCCAGGACCGACAAGAGAAACGCGGACAGGTCCTGCCAGATGTGACCGGCTGCAAACTCCTGGACAGGGGTTCTCCAGCTGGCGTCGCTGACACACCCGACCCGGGGGCCCCACGGGTGCGAGATCGCGGCCGGAGCCACGTGCGTTGCGCCCGCCAGAGCGCGAGGCGGCGGGGGTCGGGTGCCAGGCGCGGCTGTCACAGCAGACGCCCCAGCACCGCCGCCGCCGCCGCCGCCCCGCCCGGCCCGGCCCGGCCCGGGACGCTCGTGCCTGGGCGCCCTGGCACCCCTCGCGCTCCAGACCACCCTGCGCTCGGCCGCGCGGCGTGGGGGAGGGGCTCTTAAAGGGGCCGGCGCGCGCCGCGACTCACCAGCCCACGGGGGAACGGGGTTGTCACAGCGCCGGGAGCCTCGGCCCGGCCCGCGGTATCCTCGGCTGCGCGAAGCCGCAGCTCCGACAGGGAACAGCGAAGGCGCCGCGTCCACGCGGCCTGGGCGGCGCCGCAGGGTCCGGACCCCCTGGTGCGCGCGGGGGTGGCGGCGGCGGGCGGCGGGGACGCGGCCGAGCGCCCAAGCCGCCTCGACGGTTGTTGATATTTTGCTTCCTTCCTCCTTTCGGGCTCCAAAGGCAACTCCTCCAGCCCCAGACTCGAGGCCGACGTAGGCACGGCGCAGCCTAGCTTGCGGGATGGGAGGGGGGGAAGGCGGTGGGTGATGGACAAGCGGGGGGCCAATGGGAGGACCCTGCAGGGCGAGGGCGGGGCCTGGCAGGGCGGCCTTGGATGCAGCCCCGCCCCCTGCCCTCGCCTGCGCCCCACCCCCGCCGGGGCGCGCGGCCGCGGCGCGTGGAGCCCAGATCCCTCCGCCTGCGGGACAGTGCGGGGCCGCAGGGACCTCAGCGCCCCGGCCCCAGAGTTGGTCGAGGTCTAAGTAGATAACTTCTAGGGGAAAGAGAGTGTTGGGAGGCCCCAGCCCCTCCACTTACTGTGTGACAAAGCTCCGAAGCCAGATTGCGTGCTCTCGGGGTTACCTGGGGAGCTCCGCTGCTCCCTCTACCTGTGACAGGTCCCCTCCTTTCCCCTGGCCCGGCTCGGTTGACGCCCAGACATTTAAAGCAACAGTGCATAATTCTCGGGTGACCTAATCTTCAGTGCCTGCAGGGCCCCAGCTTACTGAACTACCAAGGGGGCAATTTAAAGGGGCGGGACCACAAACACCACCTCCCTTGCCTTACAGGAAATCCAGAAGCCTGGTCTTAAAGAAGAAATAGTAACTCTCTTTAAAAAAAAAAAAAAAAACCTTTGAAAATCCCTGGAGGCCTCTGGGCGTGGCGAATTTTTAAGTGCTTCACAACAAGATTGTGCGCACCATTGCTTCTGAATACTGACCCGTCAGACTTCCTGTCCAGCATCCAGCATCCTGTCACTTCCAAGTCCTCCCTGGCTCTACCTGGAGGCTGAGGAAATGACGGAGTCTGGCTTGGACTTCAAAGCCTTGTAGAACAGAAGCACAGGTTCTTCACAAGCTAGGGTCTAGTTTACTGTTCTGGGTTTTTGTGGGAGAGACGGAGAGGCAACAAGTGGTGGGTTAGAAACATCTGTCTTGGAGTCAGACTGTCGTGGTTCAAATCCTTCCACTATTTATTAAGAGCAGAACACATTTTTTTTTAACTTTTAAAATTAATTTTTTTGCAGAGCACATTTCTTAACTCTTTCCTCTTGGGTAAAATGAAGGTGGTGAGCACAGTATTTAACTTGAAATTTGGAATGAGTTTAGCTCCCAGTAGATTAGTACAGTGCTTCATTGCACTGTAATGACTCATGGGCTGCTCAAATGAAAAAAAAAAAAAAAGAGTCCCTTTAGTGGGGGTGAGTCCAGACAAGGCTCATGGGGGATAAGTTAAATAGGATTGTTCCGCAAAGAACTTGGAGACTTAAATGTACCTCCTTAAACGGGAAGCTAGCAGGCTCCTATTCCCTTGGCCTCCCTTTTCAACCCTACTTGCTCCCCCTTCTAGAAGCCCGATTTATACAGTATACACACATGGTCCCCAAATGTCGCTCTTTAGTTTCCCTAGTAGAATGGGGGGTGGCGCTCCCAGCACAGAGACGCCAGTACTCCTGAGTAGGCTGGTTTGCCCCCAATACTTCGGGGAAGGCATCTGTCCTTCCCCAAGCACTTGGAGAATACAGCCTTGTTGGGGCTTGGAAGCTATGGTGGGAGCAGTATGGGAAAGTGCCCTGCTGGTGGGGAACCTCCCCTCACTGTGGCCTCTATTTTTAGTGCTTCCCCAGGCTCTAGCTGGAGAAAACGTTTAGTCATCAGGGTGTTTATTTTCCGGCTGTTTCCGACGTCGGGAAAAGCAGAATGTTGAGACTGGAGAGATCCAGGGCTGCTGTAAAAGACTTCTTAGGAACAGGCCTGGGAACACTGCCTTCAGACCACTGGCTCTCAGCGCTTAGGAAAACAAAACAGGATGGGCCCGGGACAGCTAAGCCCTCAGGAGTTTTCAACCTGCCTCAACCTTGGAGGCTATCCAAAATAGAGAACCCTCTGGCCTGGCTCTATTTGAAGACTGTTTCTCAAAACACAACCATGCCCAGAAGAAATCCTTTCCCAGAATCCCCCTCCCCAACCTCTGCCAGATCATCTGCCTGGTGAGCCTCCCGCCAACCACAACCCTAGCCAATCTCAAACCTGAGGCGGGCCTTCCAGAGCTATGATTGGTTGACTGGGCCTTCTAGACCTGGAATGTTGAGTCCTTAACAAAGGAATGAGGAAGGAAGGTGAGTCACCTGAGGAAGGTATTAAAGGACTAGCTAGTAGGAAAAGAAACCGGGAAGAATTCCGGGGAGGTGGGGGCCATGGACGCGAACGCGCTGACTGGGCAGCTCGCAGGAGACCAGAGTAGGGCGCAGCAACACTACACGCGGGACAAAATCCAGAGTCTGAAAACATGTTGGGACTGAAGAGAAAAAGTGACAACGTGATGTCTTGGTTTCCACAGAGGACCGAAAAGGGCCAAGGTAATGTTGGAGGTTGGATGAAAATTGAACTCCCTGAAAATGACTGAATTCTTTGCTTCTGGCCCCTGGACTTCTCATCCCAGAATCCTCTGGATGGCAAACAACTGTGCCTCACGTTTTCTCTCCCATCTCTGACTGTACACCTATCTCTTATTAATTTATTGTGTTTGTTAGCGTGCCATGGTGCATGCTTAGAGGTCAGGGGACGATTCTGTGGAGTCGATCTCTCCTTCCACCATTCCATAGGTTTTGCTCAAACCCAGGTTGTCTGGCTTCCCTGGCAAGCGCTTTACTGTCTCGCCGGCTTCTACCCATCTGTTCTTTAAAAGAAAAAAAAAGTCACCTTCCAGCCCAAAGCTGCTGTAAAATTCCCCGTGGGCCCTTGGGACACTTAGATGCCCACCGAAGTCCTAAAAAAATACCATGTAAACTCACCTGCAGTGCCATCTTCACAAGGCTCTTGGGCAAACAAAACTTAACCCTCCTTTATCCGCCCCTTCTCAGGCTTCTCCAAGTCACCTGTGCTTGGAAAGGTCTTTCCCCGCAGGTCCCCATCCCTCTCAGCACCCCTCTTCCACCTGGCAGCCCTTCCTCAACTTAGGAAAAGTGCTCCTGCCATCCCTTCTAGTCTGGTGAACTGCTTGGCAGGCCCTCCTCTCACCTTCCCCTGCGCCATCTGGACAGTTCTCAATCCCCACCTCCACCCGCAACTCAGCCACCCAGCTCATTCTTCTTCCTTCAGTTTTTGGATGATGCCAGCAAAGACCCTCCAATCTCTCCCCGCATCTACCACCACGCTTGCGAACCGGACCCTCAGCAGGCGGGAGTGTATAATTCAGCGCAAAAATGGGATGTTGCACTCTCTGCCAGTCAGCTCAGGACGCACTAGCTAGCTTGCTGGTTTGGGTTTCTAAAGTACTTTTCCTCACCAGCTCCTGAGTCCCTGCGGGGATGCAGAGCTTTGCAGAGCTGGCGTGGAACGCGCTCAGCAAATGTATATATGCGCAGCTGTGTGAGTTTGGATTGTGCAAACTCTACTGAACACCTTATTTCTGCATCGATAATCGTGATAGCCAAGGACAGGGGTCGAGTCTCGGGTCCTATGACTCCACTTCAGGGCAGAGTTGGGGTGAGGGATAGATAGAGGAGTCCCCCGGACTCAAGGCCCGTGTGGCACAGTAGTGCCCTACGCTGAGAGCCAGGGTGCCTAGGACCAGACGCGGGGACAAGAGCAGAGGCCCCTGGAGCTGAGAGGGAGAGGTGCTAGAGCGGGTCCCGAGACCGTGTACCCCCACAGGAGCTCCCTGCCCCCGGCTGGGCAGGATGTGGTGGCAGCTGCAGTTGGGTGGGCAGGATGTGGGGGTGGGGGCAGACGAACGCAGCCCGACAGTAGTCTCCCCCAGCTCTTGCCTCCACCCCCTCCGGGTCACGTGCTCTCAGCTTGGGTATCGACGGACTATTTCCCATTTTCTGCGGAAGGACATCTGAAACCCGTTGTCATGGACTCAAGTTGTACCACGCCATTTTCTTGCCCCCATCTCCAGCCTAGGACGGAAAGTTTGCCCAGCACAAATTTCTTTAAAGCGAGAACTAACTCGGGAGAGGCCCCTTTAAATGCAAATGAATCGCCTTCATGCTCCGCTCCCCCAACCCCCATCCCAACTTCTCTCCTCGTGCCCAAACTCCACCAGCTGCTATTGACGTCAATCGTGCGTCAGCATCGCCAGCCCAACCAGACAGCACGTGGGGGGAAGAAGGCAATCTTAAAGTGACAGTCGCTCAGGGCCTGTTAGGTTACCGGAGAAAAGAAAAGCTCAGTGGAATGCTGGTAACAGTTGGCGCAGGAAGAAATGCCGGGGAGACTTTCAAAAGGACTGCATAAGGCCAGCGAAGTGGCTCAGGGGATAAAGGTGCTGTGCAAGCCCGAGAATCATCTCCCCATAGTTATCTTCTGACCATCACATACAGCATTTTCTACCACCCCAAACGTACAGTAATAAATTTTTTTTTAAAAAAGACTTCTCAGAGTAGTTAGTATAGTCCTTTTTCTTTTACTTTCTATTGGACAACTTGCAGTAGTTGGTTTTCTTTCCAAATACCACGTAGGTTCCTGGATTCGAACTCAGATCACTACTTTGGGCGATTTGGTGGGGCAGTAAACTCTTTTCACAGTTGAGCCCGATGTCCCCCATGTCTCTCTCTCTCTTCCCTCTTTCCCCTCTCCCTCCCCTTCAGGGCTTGAACTTAGGGCTTCACATATACTAATAAGTACATGTTCTACCACTGAACTACACAGCCCAGCTCAAGAGGTTGAATCCTAAACCAAGCTTTCTATTTAGATTACCCCAGATGTTTGGGTTTGCAAGCTGAGTCTAAAAGCAAAGAAGGCTTGAACTTTAAGAACCATGAGTTGCCAGGCAGATCTATGAGTTCAAGGCCAGCTTGGTCTAGAGAGTGAGTTCCAAAACAGGACAACAGAGAAATCCTGTCTTGAAAAGCTAAAACAAAACAAAACAAAAAGAACCCTGAGTTCTAGCTGGGTAGAAACACTGGCAGGGGCAGGCAGATCTCTCTGAGTTCCAACTTGGTCTACACATTAAGTTCCAGGAACTAAGGCATTACATGAAACGACCCTGTCTGGGGGGTGGGGGAGAGGTACAAAAACAAACAGCAAAAACACATGAGTTCAGTCTTTTCCCTCACTCTACTCAGTGTGTCTGTCCACAAGTGTTGTGCCTCCAACTAGAGCAAAGCACGGAGTAGACAGTTGTAGCGTGAGAGAACTGATACTTTGCGCCGATGCAGACACACCTTTTTCAAGAGGTTCTCCTGTTTGTCCCATGCACACGCACACAGCACTCACACTCAGGTATCAGGTGGTCTTGTGTTTTTGAATGCACACAGCATTTATTGCGCAGCTCTTGCATTCAAGCCCTGTGCACTGGAACCTAGGTCCCAGCTCTGGTTCTACTGTTTATTAGTTGACTGACCTTGGACAGTGTTGCTTACTGTGAGCATTAAATAGGGCATTAAATAGGCCCTAGCTGGCCTGAGACTCACAGAAATCC